GGGAGTGAGTTGAATTGAGCCATTTGTAGTGCTTTATAATTTAACTGTTTCTTTCTTGTATTATATATTTAACTGTATATGATTTAACAGTTCATTTCTTGTTATATATCCAATTATCTTTATAAATAAATATATTAAATTATCAGCAATTTGGTTTTATCTCTCTAGAGAACCCTGTCTAACACACTGGCCAAGCAGCTGTACAATAGAGTGAGGTGTTCTGCCAGTGCCATGCTAATGATATGTATGACAATGTCCCATAAATATGGATCAAATATTTCTTTCAAACAATCACAACCACAGCAGTGGGTCAGGTCACATATTTCAATGTCTGCACAACCCTAATTGTCATTCCTTTCTGATCACCAAAAGCCAATTGCAGTGTTGTCAAGTCAATTCAAACTCACTGTGACCCTAGAGCCGGGCATGAACCTTCTCCATGGAGTTTCCAAAAGGGCACATCTTTCTGAGAGCAGGGCCTCACCTTTGTCGCTTGGGGAGGCTGGTAGGTATGAACCACGGCAATTTTGGTCTGAAACCAATCTACTGAACCAACAGGGATGTCTTCCTACAATATATTCCTGATAAAACTTTCCATTTACTGAGCAACTGTGATATTTGAAGAAATCTCCCAAACAATCTGGCCAGAGAGGGTCAGTGAGTGCTGTTGCCTCTCTAAAGCAGACGCTCAGTGTTGCTCAAATGTAAGCTGCTGAGTCAGCATGCAGGTCCACGAGGCTCATGCTAAATTCCTGGAAACTACATGTCTGCTCACTTTCCTACGGTTTGTCATTCTGGCATCAATCATCAATAACAGAGATGATCCAGCAATCTGTCAGGTGGTACAGAGGGAAGGAAAGAAACCCACTTTATTTAATTCATACAACCAAATACATTTCAATAAAAATAAGAAGTGAGTCAAAGGAGTGTGCATAAGACTTAATGAGAAAATAATATGCAGATAGCCTGAAGTCAATAAACATGTACCATAGTCCTAAGCATACTCCTCCACCAAGAGGTCACTGTTTCCAATACAGGCACAAAGATTTTTGCTGTACTTCACAACAGTCCTCAAAATGTGTATTTAATGACATGTAGCCAAGAAAAATCCAGAAGCTGTGGAGAATAAATCCTGGCCTGATCCTCAGGTAACTCCCTGCCAACGTGTGTCGTACACCAAAAAAGTACCATTATGGGAACACATAAAGGCGAACAAAACAAGAAAACAGCTCGAGAAAAGCCCAACCAATTTCTGAAAGAACTTGAGTCAAGGCACAGAACACTGTGGGGCACTAACAAGAAGCACTCACCCTTTAAGATGTGGATCCCTAAATGGACTCCCTGAATAGTGTGCAAAATGGAGTGCTCCCCAATCACAGACAGAGAAGAAGGTTGAACACAAGGTACGAGTGCCTGGAAGAAAGGCGACCACCGTCCAGAGGCAGCCAGTGAAAACCCCATGGACTGTGTGGCTTTACTCTAAAGGACCACGTAGACGCAGGGTGAGTTTGGTGTTTGACTCAGGGTCCCCACAGAGAAGCAAGGGATAGGATGAATGTCCAATACACAGAAAACTCCAAACAGGCAAAAGCACACCTGAAAGGGTTTATGCATCAAGATGTGCACCACAGATCGACAATAGAAAGGATTGAACAATGCTGCAACCCCTGAGAGACATTTCCACACATTTACAAACTCATGTGAAAAGCCCCTCAATCCCTAGGACGGGTCTCATTGCAGAGGGCTGCTAACTGTACTCTCAGCAGTGGTAGCCTGTTCTGGGGGCTTCTATCAGTTGGAATCAATTGGATGACAGTGAGTCAGAGGTTTTGTGAGAGCAAACTTTGTCACACCAAATAGTACACAGAAAACAAGTGTCCTCTTGTGAAAATAAGGGCAAAATTACAAACAAAGATCAAGGAAAGGCAGTATTAAGAGGTGTACAGGGTTAAAAGCACGGCTGCTAATTGCAAGGTCAGCAGTTTGAAACCACCAACCAGTCTGGGGGAGAAAGATGAGGCTTTCAACTCCTACAAAGAGTTACACTCTCAAAACCCACAGGGCAGTGGCTAGGTGGTGCAATAGGACTGTTGGGCTGGAATTAAGTCACTGGTAGCGAGTTTTTATGTCCTTTACAAAAAGCCCAGCCAAATTTATCCTTTAATTAATGTGAATTCTAAGCAACCTTTTGTGTTAGAAAGGGCAAATAACAGGTTTCCTTTTCAATTTTCACTCTTACATGCACTCCGATACGTGATTTTCAGTAACTGAACTGAAGTACAATAAATTGAAAAGGCCTCAGTAGAAACACCAGCTGCTATAGAAATGTTCAGCGAACACAACTATGAACCCAAGAAGTTCAAGGCTTCATCTCGATGAAGAGCCCACCCAGGAGACGAGAGCACTGTCATCACAGAGTCCTAGTCCACACTGTGGAGAGCAGCTGGAAGCACGATGACCTAATTCCAGCTCCAGCAGCTGTGCGGCTGGACGAATACTGCATACTGGACAAACAGGCTTCTCACACATTGGAAACCTCCAGGAAATGGCATCCCTCCAAATCAGACAGGTCTGGAGACCCCACACATGACCCCGCTGGACTGACTGTCCCAGGAGTCTCATTCATTGAAGGACCAAACGAAGTCAAGACCCCATTGACAGTCAGCATCTTCTGCTACTAACTCTCTTCTAGTTCCTAAGGCATTGCACAGTGGGAGGGAACTGTTTTAGAACTGTGTTATACAAAAGGCTCCAGTGTCAGAGAAGGGATATGGGGGAGGCATGGGAATTATTTGCAGAAATGGGACAAGGATGGCTCTGGAGATGCTCGGGCGCAGGTTCCCACAGTTCTGTCATTATACACAGAGAACCAAGACTCAGGATGGGGATGGCGACTCCTTATCAGCCTCATCTTGGGGCACATAAGAGTCACATATAGGTTACCATCTGTTGGGGTGGGGGGACAGAATAGCGGGTGAAGGGAGACGCTGGATAGGGAAAGATATGACAATATAATAATTTATAAATGATTAAGGGCTCATGAGGGAGAGGGGAGAGGGGAAAAATGAGGACTTAATGTCGGGGGCTTAAGGGGAGAGGAAATGTTTTGAGAATGATGAGGGCAATGAATGTACAAATGTGCCTTACACAATCGATGTATGTATGGATTGTGGTAAGAGTTGTATGAGCCCCTAATAAAACGATTAATTAAAAAAAAAAAAAGGTTACCCTCATGTCAGGCTTGGAATCCCACTTACACCCTAAAGAATGGTCCAGTACCAGTTGAGATGGGACCCAGGATGACTCTCATGGCTCAGACACTGGGCTTCCTCTGCCACCTTCTAACCTTATCGAGAAACCTCAGGGCCAGCAGTAAACCGCACCACAGTATGTCCAATCAGCCTCCACCCCTCATCCCCATATACTCATTCTCAGTAGGACTCACCATCCCAGCTCCAGCTTCTGAATGTCTTGTTGAATGTGCTCCTTGAGGTCAAGTACACGCTTCACAGAGTGGATTAAGAGTGGAAGCGGAAGCAGAGCCAATTGGCAGTTTGGACATAGTTCAATGACGTGTAGTCCAGTCAGTCAGAGGGTTTAAACACTGAATCGAGATTCCACAGCTAAACACGAATGTCGCATTTGTTCTCCACTTCCGTGCAACAGGCCAGGTCTGTTCACCACACCTGGGACCTGAAATGGAAGGACACACAGTTCAGTAAGGCTCTTGAATCTTGACCTGGGTAGCTTCAAGGTCATGTTCCATTCTGAGGACATCTGCATAAAAGGCAGATGCTGATCCCGCATCCCAGATCACAGGCTTGCATTGTTCATGTACTTCACAGGCCCCTTCCACTATCAACAAGGGCAAAGTCTGATGAGTGTCCACATGCAAGAACATGCGGAGCATCTAGGCCTGCCCGGGCTAGAAACGTGAACCTCCTGATGCAGAGAGAGCTCTGACATGAGAGGAATGGAGGAGGGGCAGCAGCAGAA